AAATGCTATGCCAGGTCTTTGCTTGTTCTGGCCATAAATTCTTATCCGCTCAAGATAATACAAATAAACTTGATACGAACTTGTAAAACCACAAGAACGCATGTTGCATAATATTTTCATCACCCCAACTCTAAGGTCAAGGTCAAAAAACAATGTTGTTGCTGGTCTCATTCTTAGCCTCTGAGTCATTCAAGAAAATTTAACACATCTTGATACACATACCCATCATTATTACACGGAGTGTTTTACACACCTTTCAGCCATGCAGCTTCGAGGTCAAAGTCACAAATCAAGGTCTTTGCTTGTCCGGGCCGTTGCTATAGGTTGCTGTATCACTGTAAAATAGTTTGTCGACCAGCGTATGATGTGCCATATGCAGCACTCCAGTCTGTTTTAATAATGAATTGGAAATAAAATTATTAAAGACACTAGCAATTCTTCAGGGACTGCACATTTGCCCCCCTCCTTAAATGCTAAAGTTAACTTCAGTTGAGTTGTTCTCTACATGTATGATTAAGAAACATTTATTCTTACTACTCAGCACGACTGCACCATGATTGTACCGTTTAGTCTCAAAGGGAATGCATAGATGTAGAGAAAAGGAGCACTGAATTATTATTGAACTCAACATCTGAAGGTTTACTCTATCATGATCAAAATCAAGAAGTCTTTTTCATCATAGTCTAAAATCTGCCTCAGAAAAACTACTCCAGTGACCACCCACTTATAAAAAATAAGTAATCTTTTATATGCCCGCTTTTGATCTTCGCTACTTCTGCATTTTATTTTCTCCCACAAAGGCAGAAGATTAAGTTAGACTGCTTTCTTTTCATTGACCTGAATGCTCTCATATGATATGCACGGAAAAACCCGTTCAATAGAAAGAAGAAAAAAAAAATCATAAAGATTGCTTTTAAATTGTTTTGCTGCATAAATATTAATTTTACTCTTTCCAAGATGAAGCAGAGCTACTTTGCATACAAAGTATAAGCAAAGCTCTTCAGTTTGTGTTGTGTAGCGAAGTAGCTTTGTCACCTTTGGGGCCAGATTTGTCCAAGCCTCGATGATCAGGTGGAATAAACAGCCAAATAAAAGGTTTACAGCCGGGTATTTTTAAAGATTTACTGAGGATTAGTGAAATCTTTGCTTCTGTTAGTTAAACATAAAGATGGAATAGTTGAAATCTTTTAAAGAGGTGTTTTGAAGGATGGTTATGAACAATAAATTTTTTATGTTAATATCTCTGAATAATATCAGTTTGCAGAAATAGAGTTGAACTCTAACCGATATGAAGAGCTAACTCTATAGTTAATGACAAGCTAGCTTGTACAGTGTCAAAATGTGTCGTCCTCAACAAGTCATTTCTCAAAGCATTCATAGTTCATGTAAATGCTGTTGTATAAACTTTTATATTGTCATTTTCACAGTACAAAGTTATTTACATGGATTTATGTGGAAATTTGTAAGTGTAAAAAGCAGTAGCTTGCCATATCACTTTTTGTGCAACCTGGAGCACCTAAGGGAAAAAAGATAAAATTTCTGCATGAATAAATTTGTAATTTAAAAAAACGTTGGTATAAACATCCTGATGCATGCTCAATAATCGTTGGTATAAACGTTTTAAAAGATCCTTCATCTGAATCTATATACATTTATTTCGATTGGAGTTGTTTTAATACACCTATCCACTTTTGACATGCCCCTACTCAGATTAGCCCTTAGCTAATTAGTGTTCTTTGAATAATAAGTAAGTAGGAAGTAAGTTAGCTGTAGTGAGTAAGCTAGCTAGCTAGATAAATAATCTTCAAAGCTAGCCACCTAGATTGATGGATGGTGTTCATTCAAAGGACTATCTACAACAAAGAATGTAATAATTGTTTATAACCTTCCAATAAAACCTATTTAAAATATATGTACCAGTCTTTTTAATGTGGGGCCGAGATGGTGTAGGGGCAGGACAGCCACTCGGAACCCAAAGGTCCCAGGTTTGATCCTCAGTCAGTGCACATCTCGTGGTGTCTCTGAGCAGGACACCCTATCCCCAGCTGCTCCCCGGGTGCCTCCAAAGGTTGCCCACTGCTCCGCCTGGTGGTGGATGGGTTAAGTGCAGAGAGCCAATTTTGCCATTGTATGGGAACATACAATGATGACAACACATACACATTATTATTATTGTTAATAAACTCTTAACTCTGAGCAGAAATCTACTCCGTTTTAAAAACTAGACAAAAATCAAGGCTAGATTAACACTTTAGTCCATGTTGGGTAACTTGTTTTCAATCTACAAGGCAGCAAACAAGTTAAATGTTTTTTGTTTTTTTTTAGAATAGATAAACATCTCGACAATTTACCTGATGAAACTATTTCTAAATCGGCCATTTGTATTGTTTATGTTTTGAAGGTTGACAGCGTTGTGGAGGCTTTATGCTCTCAGTCATGGTAACTGCATATTGAAAGTTCAGTCATGCGGACCAATTTAACTGCACAGTAACACACATCCATGAATGAATTCTGGAACATTAATGGCCATCATTTGGAAATCGTTCTGCAGAGCTTCATAAAACTACACCTTCAACACAGAATCAGCTAATCTTTACACAAGCTCACCCAAAAGCAGGACCTATGAATTTATAGTCTCCATGTATGCAAGAGCATTGGAGACTACGTAGCAAAGAAGCAGTATGCATAATGCATGAATTCGACTTTGAACACTGAGCCATGCCAAATGTCTTATTATGTTGTTCTTCGTGTTTTCTCTGTTGCTTGTTTCCCGGTGGTCTCTCTGAAGTACCGAACTTCCTATTTTTTTGGCATTATATTGTTACAAGCTCATCTATCCTGTCTTCATTGAATTTATTATCACATTGTCTTTTTAATAGGTTCACTGTTAATTGGTGCCAAAAGCAAGATAATCAAACAAAAAGGACAGTAATTTTTTTCAGATAGACTTGTACAAAAATTTGTAAAAACCAAACCGAGGTTACGGCTGTAAAGATTTGATTGTCAAAGATTATTCAGTACTAAATCTTATGATTAGTTTCAAAATGTCAAAAATATTAAAATGATCAAAGGTCGACTAATTGACTCACAACTTCACACTTCTTCGGATGCACCATAAATATTCAGTTAGGACTACCAGTCTGGAATCAATCTTTTAAAATTATACTTATTTATTCATCTCTTTTCATCTTTCAGTCTGTTTGTCCGTCCAACCAGCCATTTTCCTAAGATAAAATAACACAAGGGAATAATGCTGCTTTAGTGGTAGCTCCATTTGTTTAATAAGCGCTGTGAGTTTATCCATCTTATGAGGCAGCGCATTCACGGTTTTTTATTAGGACCAAGGGAATCGATGGATTTCTGTGCACTAACCATCTTAGCCTTTAGCTTCCCCTAGGTTCAGCACCCATGATACCTCCCCCTAAACTCATTGGGGAGGAGATGGAAATTGCCAGTTTCTACAGTTTCCATAAGCACCAATAGCATTTGCCTCAAATAAACACGTTTTTTTTTCCTAGTCTTTCTTCTATGCATCCATAGTTGTGTTGCAAAGGCAACAGGTCCAGGAGGGAAACCCACACATTCTCCTCTTTAGCGACATATCCTCCTTGGGGACCACAAGGGGTTCCTTGTTCAGGTTACATAATGCCCACCTGTGTGTTCTGGGTCTTTCCTGGTATCTTGTTTAATCGTCAAACCCCTAACTCTTGCATTGGAGGAGGACTGCTCTAACCACACAGCCACAGCCGTCCAATGGAGCTCCTCATCTCTAAAGCTGAGCCAGGCCACCCTCTGGAGGAAGCTTGTTTCAGCCACTTGTATCAAGGATCCTATTTTTTCAGATCATGATCCATACCCCAAGACTGTGATGGTTTGAATACAAACCAGTAAAATAAGAGCTTTTCCATTTGGCTTAGCTCATTCTTCACCACAACAAACTTGGAACAATGTGCTCATTACTACTAACGAGTTCCTGATTCATCCGTCCATCTCTCTACATCCCACCATCATTTGTCAACAAAAACATTCAGACTGTACTCAAAGTCCTCCACTTAAGACCAGTTGTTACCTCTGACCAAGTGGGAGCATTCCACATTTTTCCATCAAAGACATTGAAGGAGGCCGACCACAGGCGACTTGTTAACTCAACTGCAGTAGGTAAACAGGATCACCCTCCTGGAGACAGACCTAGGGAGGTGGAGGTCAGCTGTGAGCACATGGTGTTCAAGCCTTGGTTCTTAGCTAACAAGAAACAAAAGCCACTTTCATGCGGGTCCTACACCTATAGGGAGACCAGTCAAGGTTGGGCACCATGTGAGTCAAGGCAAGGGTCGGACCCTAAACCAGCTGATTCCTGGTGTCATCAGCTGGTTTTATTCCAGCCTCTCTCACAAAACCACAGTATGGAAATTACATCAATATTTAATCTTAGTATTTGTGTTTTGAACTTCTAGTATTGAGATACCCTGAACCAAGATAAGTGTAGCTTTTTATTCATTCCTTGTTAAACACTGAAATATTTCAGCTTTGCATTTTTATTTTTTTGTATTTGCTTTTGTATTACATTATTGAAATACCAAACGGAATGCTTTTCTCTTTGGTGTCAGGATGCCGCCTCCACCCCTTTTATGAGTTTAAGGATGAACATCTGTTTGCCTGAGCTTCGGCACATCCATTTGTGTTTGCACGTACTCTGCTTTCCCACAGATCACAGTGTGATGCCCAACATTCGCGGGATTTCAGCATCGGTAGATAAAAACTTGGTGCATGTTTCTTCCTGAACATACCGTTTGGTGTTTGGCGAATTAACAGCACTCAGCGTGCATATGAAAGTGCAGCATGTCTGTTAATTATCTGTCTTCTGAACTTTTAGCTCCTCTGGTCCTGCTGATTCAGGATAGATGTTAAACATGTGGTTGGAATGGAGGACTTCCAGTCAGGGCTTTATTATGTAAAAGGTTGTCATCCTTCTAATTAGCTCGTGTATGTTTTTTCAACAGAATGTCGCCCACATCAACAATATAGTGAAGCAGGTGCTGCTGATTTTCCCACATTTCTGTTTGGGCAGAGGGTTGATCGACATGGCCACGAACCAGGCCATGGCAACGCTCTTCAGCAGTTTTGGTAAGAGTTTTCACAACATGGAATAGATCACTGGAAAAAAAAAGTTACAACACTTTCAAATAATATTTTTAGTATTCAAAATCAACTCGAATCCATATTTTAAAGCTAAATGTTGTATACTTATAATTCCAGTGACCAAAAGTGAGAGCAGAGTAGAAATAATCTGAGCTTTTACTTCACTGTACAGATGGAAGCTTTGAATCTTAACACAAACATTTACTGTACATTGTTTCTTCTTTCATGTGAACTGTGTGATATCTGTTACCTGATCTGAAGGGTTTGACGGGCTGGTGGGTCTTCACAGAACACTGGACTGGATAAAAAATAAAAACTGTAAAAAAAATCAGTTAGTGCATATTTATGGGGGAGGAGGATGCCTTTTAAATTTTTCTGTAAATGTTTTGACCATTTAAAAAAAAATCTGAAATGTGGAGATTTTTCTTTAAACTAACAGCCTTAAGGTGTTACTTTTTTTTTTTATTAATTAAATTTGAAAATTTTATTTCAGGTTGCGATGGCTCTAAAGCAGGGGTTCCCAAACTTTTCCACGCCATGGCCCCCCAAACAACATTAGCTTATGGCCGAGGCCCCTCTCACAAACCCACAAACAGTGCTACAAAAAATGTAAAGAAACATCAACTTTTAGACTGTTTTAACTTTTATTCACTATATTCAATTAATTATTACGACTGCTGAGCATAAAAATGTTATTAACTAACATGTTTTAAACACTGCATTATATTCCCACAAAAAAAACAAAAAAAAAACTTTTCTACAAACTGTTGACCAGAAGAACAAAACAAAACAAATGTAACCTCTCTCTCAAGTGTGTTTATCTGAAAATTACAGATTCAGATTGTCCCAGTGGGCAATTTTTATTATTACAATTATTACAATTTTTTATTTTTGCTTTTTTATTCTTCTGTCCAGCTTTCTGGGGCCCCCCCTAGTGCCCCCTGGCGGCCCCCAGAGGGCCACGGCCCCCCACTTTGAAAAACACTGCTGTAAAGGACTGACTAGTTTATTGTGAAAAAATTGTGTAAGGTTATCAAATGTCCCTCTAAGTAACACATATCATCATAAAGTTAAAAGAACAACACAAAAGTTACTCTTTGTAATCTTTAATTTATAATTTTTTGTTATAAAAGCAAGGCTCATTAAACACTTTTTGGATGGCTGAACTGCTTCATTACACTGTTTTTACAGCTCACTTTCAGTCTTTGACAGTTGTTCCACTTAGTTATAAATGTGAAATAAAACATAGTTTTAAAGAATGCATCATCTGACCTGTAAGCGTATTCGTGCTTGTGCAAGTGCACAACAGAAGGAGAACCTAGTCATCAAAAAAGTGTTGTGTAGGACTGCTGATGGTCACTGAAGGTGCACACAAATCGCTCTGCTCTTCCCAAAGAAACACTCAAACCACCTCCAGTCCTTCTAAAGTGACACGTACCATTTCTGTCCAAATGCTAGTTCTCCAGGGGGAAAATGTTTGACCAGTATCACGACTCCCAAACCTCTACTCAAGCTCTTCTGTCCACACGAGTTAAAGAGAGTGGGGGGGGGGGGGGAGTTGTAGACGGGTTTGAGGGGGTAGACGGAGGTGCGCATCAAGAGTCAAAGAGACACATGAAAGAGGAAGAGGGGTCTTTTCTGTCGAGAGATGGAGCAGGAAATAACGGTTTGAGGAATAATTTTCGGCGGCGGCAGAGAGAGGAGAGAGAAAAGCAATCACGACTTAAAAGGCCTAGTGTGGAGAGGGGCTATTTACCGGAGAATGAGACTGAAAGCGCTTTCGTTTTTCTTGTCTCCTTACTCCACCCCTCTCAGCTCCTTGCCCCCCTGCCCGCCCGCCCTCGAGTGTCTGGGCTTTAGATGCTGATAGAAGGAAGAAAGTTAGTGCGGAGGGCTGTCACTTGCTTTGTTTAGACGTTCATCAAACCAAACGGCTTCAGCGACGAAAAGTACACAGTGTCAAGTATTTCCTCACACGACAGCAGGTGACAGCAGTTTTAAACTTTTTTTGGGGGGTGGGGGGGTGTGTAATCCTAAGACTAAGTGGCTTTTTGAACTACTGCCTTTCACCAACGAATATGTCTTGGAGGCAAAATTCAGCAAAAATACATGCTATAATTTAGCTGTCCACGAAGGAAAACATTCTTTCTTTTGACGATTTTAGCTCAAAAATCTCCTCCGAGTGCATTGATAAGAGCTGGAAACGGACATGAAATGACTTATAATGTTAATGTATTCAATCATTTATTATTTTAGTGTATTGGTTTTATTCACTTCCTTTTATTTTCTGCTTTGCTTCTTTTCTTTTTTTCTCTCCTCTGTGCTGCCTTCCTGTTTGCTGTGTCAGGGGAAAACCGTTTTAAGGATCCACTGAGCTGGGAAATGGTGGGGAAAAACCTCTGCGCTATGTCCATCCAGGGAATTGTGATGTTCACCTTTACAATCCTCATCCAATATAAGTTCTTCTGCAAACCCAGGTATTGGAGTCAGAGTGATGATATGAAAAAAAAAATTGTGGTTTTGGTTCTAAAACTGACATTTTCAATCTATTTAGCAGGCCAAACTTACCCCTAGTCAGATTAAACTAGAGTATAGTTTGGCACAGGCCAGAGTAAACCCCAGGAAGGTATGCTGTCTTAGACCAAACTATACCCAGGGGTGTAAAATATCCTAGGTCAGAATGTGTTTTCAGGTCTCTCTTGTAAATGAGTCCCTGAGGCTCAATGGGACTAACCTGTATAAATAAAGGTTGCATGAAATGTACTCATCTAGGCCAGAGAATACTCATCTAACATAGTAGTCAACCTCAACATATGTCTAGGTAATTAATATGTATCAGCAGAATTATGAACGGTGACTTAATTTCAACAATAAATTAGTTGAATTTTAAATTTGTTGTCAACACATTAAAATATTTTCAGTCTTTTGTAGTAAAATGACAACAAACAGAGGATAGTTGCCTCATTTATGTTATGGTTAGCATTTAGTCACTTGTATACCCGTAACTGAAACAAGGCACCGCCGGCCAACAATCAAGGTCAAGGTTCTTTATTGTCATTCGCATGGCATGTGGTACATCTGGTGGAACAAAATTGTGTACACAGGGTCCCAGTTACATCCAACAGAAGTCCGTCCGTCCGTCCGTTTTCTTTACTCGCTTATTCCATTTTGGGTCACGGGGGTCGCTGGTGCCCATGTCCAGCAATCACTGTGCGAGGGGCGGGGTACACCCTGGACGGGTCGCAAGTCCATCACAGGGCCACATAGAGACAAACGAGACAAACAACCATTCACTCTCTCACTCACACCTAGGGACAATTTAGAGTTACCAATCAGCCTAACATGCATGTTTTTGGACTGTGGGAGGAAACCGGAGTACCCGGAGAAAACCCACGCATGCACGGAGAGAACATGCAAACTCCACCCAGAAGGCCCCTGGACCGGGGTTTGAACCAGGGACCTGTTCGCTGAGAGGCAGCAGCTCTACCAGTTGCGCCACCGTGCTGCCCCTCCAACAGAAGTATAAAATATAAAAGAAAAACAGTAATAAGATCTAAGATATTAACTACGAAATACGCTAAACACGTAATAGTGCAAAAACAATAATAATACTCCGAACTACAGCAGCACGAACATGAGTCTGTGTGAGCAACAATGTGAGCAGTGGAGTAGTTTACTGGGGTAACTAGAGATGGGCAATTTTTTTTGTCTTTTATTTTCCAGGATTTACATATAGATTTTAAAAATAGATATATTTAAAGGTGGCATGGTGGCTCAGTTAGTAGAGCTGTTGTCTCTCAGCGAGATGGTTACTGGATCATCCTGGCTGGGGGCCTTTCTGGGTAGAGTTTGCATGTTTTCTTCATGGGTTTTCTCTGTGTACTCCTGTTATTCTTCCCACAGAACAAAAACATGCATGTTAGGCTGATTGGTAACTCTAAATTGTCCCTAGGTGTGAGTAAGTGTGTGAACGATTGTCTCTATGCGTGATGTGCTTGCAACCTGTCCAAGGTGTGCCTCTTGTACTGTGACTGCTGCATATGGGCACCAGTGACCCCTGTGACTGATTAAGTCCCATACTTAGTATTACTGTAGTAACTTTTGGGTATTAAATAATTAATAAAATACAGTAATTATTGTGTAAGACTCAACACTACATATACCATGGGGGTATAAGCTGGTTTGATGGGTATAAATTAGCCTAGGCCTTAATATGCCCAAGGCATAATCAAGATATATTTAAGCCTAGGCCCCTTTAACTCCAGGTATATTCTGGGTTGGGGGTATTTTATATCTTGCTACACCAGAAACCATACATTGTCTGTTTTTGGTCAAACAGAGAATGTGACAAAAAGGCAATGCAAGTTTAAAAAGTGATAGTTCTTGTGGAAACTTTAACTCCTGCTGCCCTTGTGTCAAAATCACCCACAAGGCCTCAGTTTTAAATCAAAGGCCTTGTGGGTCATTTTGAAGAGGGTTAGACATTACTACATTATACTTTTTGGAACACCGTCATCTACTAAAGAAAACATTAGTATTATGCACGCTTTGAAAGCAAACAAACCTTTTTTGTCTACCTACAAATAACCTTGTTTATTCATGTTTCTCCCGGTTGTACCTCTTTTCTCTAGTTTACAATCATTATGTACAGATAATACTGTACGTACAGACGTCTGATTAGTCATTCAGCCTCTGCATTTTAAACTGTAGCTAATGTTTAGTCTTTTTTTTTTTGTTAAAATATCCATTCCCCTGTGACTGAAGTTGCCAAAATCCACCAAATATATTTTTTTGTTGTGTGTTTGTGACTGCAGGTTTCTCTAAAATGAAAGTTGCCATAGAAACTAAGGTCTACAATTTCTGTTGCATGTGGAAATTATAGAGAATGTTTCGTTGAGCCTCAACTTTGACTGAGATAATTAGTCATGCTGGTTAACTTTAATTTTAATGAGGGGTGTTTATAACTGTGTGACACTGCCTCTGCCAGACTCATTTCCGTAAAGGCACCATCTGCGGAGGAAGAGGATGTTGATGTTGCCCGGGAACGAAGGCGGGTGTACGAAGGCAAAGCTCAGAACGACCTGCTAACCATCTATGACCTCACTAAGGTATGCTGCCACGGTACAATGCCTCGTTCAGTTTTTGGGCATTCGTGCATGATTTCCAACACTAATCAATGGTTTCTACTCTATAAGTCACTTTTTTTTTTACAGCGGTGTTATGTAAAATCAATGGTTTCTGGGTTTAGTTGGTTGAATTTTTATGCTTTTTGTTTTCATGTTTTCTGTCTGTGTCAGATTCAGTTCTTTGGTTGGTTTTATTTTGGAGCACCGTGACTATAAGAGCCTTTCGTTAGGAAATTTTATCGTAGCAACCTGATAAACACTAACGTCAAATTGCTGCAGAGTTGTAGTTCGATTAATGGACTTTATTTTCAGTTTCAAATATCTGAAATGGTAAAATTTTTCGCCTTTTTTGTACATCACGTACAATATCTGACTCAAGGTGCCATTTTTATAGTCTAACAACAACCTGAACATAAATGCCACTCCAACACTAAATAGAACAACTCATTTGAACACATAACCTGAACAATTCCCCCCATTTCTGTCCCCGAATTACCCAGCATACAACAGGGCTCACTTAGTCTCTTGCGTCCAAGTACAACATGGGATTTCAATTATTCTATCTGAAATTAGCATTAACCCACATAACTTCCTGTTTCTGTAAAATTTCATCATAGAATGCAGTGTTTTCCCTAGTTTTCTTGAAGATATCTTCTGTAATGGGGGGGAGGGGTTGGAGACGGTGAAATGTGTGTGTTGCGCGCCGTTTGTACCGAAAGTTGAACTATTGAATTGGGGATTTCCCCTTTTTTTAGTTTGTTTTGAGGTTTTATTATCTCTAACTCGATTGTTTGTGTGCATAATTTGTTGAATTCATCTTGCTTGTTTTCAAATTTAATTTGACTTTAAGTTTTGTCCAAGTCAAACTCTGGTTTGTGGTTTCTGCATAAGCTTTATGTTACAAAGTTATTTACATTAAAATATGTGGCTCATCAGTCAGGTCAAAACTGAACTCTGTGTGAACAAACTAAGATGTTGCAAAATTATATAATCCAGTTAAAAATCCAACAATGTTCAGTCAGGTCATCTGGATGGTTACTTTCTTTTTTTTAATTTTTTGCTGAGATGTTTTGTCCTTCATCCAAAGGACTTATTCAATCTGAGGAGCCACCAAGCAAACTGAGCCCCACAAACAGCACACTCCCATAGTGGATAAAACCCATTTGCAGGTTATAAGATGGTCTCTGGGGCCCGCCCTCTCGCCCATCAACTCCTCTGAGACAGTCATGCCAAAATGGTTCAAAACACCAAAGTTGAGCATGACCTTTGTCTTAGACAGACAACATATAGAGTACAGACACTACACAACAATAAAAAGCAATTAAAATAAAAAACAGTGTTGTAAAAACACTGTTATTGTTAGCAGCATGGTCCTGTTAGCAGCTTGATACTGTTAGCAGTGTGGTCCCGTTAGCAGAGTGGTCCTGTTAGCAATGTGGTTCTGTTAGCAGCATGATAGTGTTAGCAATGTGGTTTTGTTAGCAGTGTGGTCCTATTAGCAGTGTGGTCCGATTAGCAGCATGATACTTTTAGCAGTATGGTCCTGTTAGCAGCGTGATCCTGTTAGCAATGTGATCCTGTTAGCAATGTGATTCTGTTAGCAGTGTGGTCCCATTAGCAGCATGATACTGTTAGCAGTTTGGTCCCGTTAGCAGAGTGGTCCTGTTAGCAGCATGATACTGTTAGCAGTTTGGTCCCGTTAGCAGAGTGGTCCTGTTAGCAGCATGATACTGTTAGCAGTGTGGTCCCGTTAGCAGAGTGGTCCTGTTAGCAATGTGGTTTTGTTAGCAGTGTGGTCCTATTAGCAGTGTGGTCCCATTAGCAGCATGATACTTTTAGCAGTATGGTCCTGTTAGCAGCGTGATCCTGTTAGCAATGTGATCCTGTTAGCAATGTGATTCTGTTAGCAGTGTGGTCCCATTAGCAGCATGATACTGTTAGCAGTGTGGTTCTGTTAGCAGCATGGTTCTGTTAGCAGCATAGTTCTGTTAGTAGCGTGGTCCCGTCAGCAGCACGGTACTGCTAGCAGCGTGGTCCTTTTAGCAGAACGATGATAACAACAGCAGCAATGGACAATAACTGCCCTCCAGATACCAAGAAACTGTAGCAGGTATCGGGCTGGTACAACCTCTACTAACAGTTTATATTTTTGTTGGGGAGAATCATCGTGTCTGAAATTAGACCAAAGTGACACAAAAACTCATTACTGTGTGTCCTTGTTCGTGTATCTGCGAGGGCCATATAATCTGAGTTTAGTCATTCTTTTGACAAATTCTTGTCCCTGTCATGCTCGTTAGGTATCTCAGCTGTCCTAGTTCTGCTTCACGTTGTTTACTTTAGTTTGTTGGTGTGAAATAAAGTTCTCTGATTTGCCCGCCTGCCTTCCTGCTGCCTGCATTCTCTGCATTTTAATCCCTCAATCCAACAATTCATGACAGTTTATTTGATTTGTAGTGGATCAGCCCTTAATGGAAAATTGTAAGAACTCTAGATTACCCAAAAGCTGCCCGTCTTTTTAAACACACACAAAAAAGTGACGCTTTATTTTATTATAAATTTTAATTGTGTTATCACAAGACGTACTTAAATGGTGAAAAGCCTTTTTGTACCTGCAATTATTAACATTGATCAGATTTTCCTTAAGATCTATTTTCAGTAATAAAATAGTTTTATCTCATTTTCTTAGGATAACAACAAATTTCAAGATGATGAGCTTTTTTTCTGGAAATGATGGTATAATTATGACGATAAAATGAGTCGATCTTGTTTTCCTCCATCATCATTCAGTATCGCCGTCTTGACCTGCGGAGATGAGATAAAATAATAATAGTTTGATAAATGATAAATGTTTGATTTGACATTTTCAGCTTGAATCAGTAGTTGAAGAAAACACATTTTGTTTAATTGTGATTAAAAACAAACTATTTTCTGTGAGAAAAACAATATATATTATCTAACGATTATGAAATTAACTAATTTATAGAAAATTAGGTAAATAACTTGTTTTCTTGAGGTAAAGTTATGAAAATTAACAGGTACAGGTAGATCAACAAGAACTTCCCTCTTTTATTTAAATAAGATTTTTTACTTGTTTTTCTCAAACAGTTATAGTGGTCAACTGTGGAATACATACATATATACATTTTACATCTTTACATACATTTCTGTTTCTGTTCTCATGGTGCCATAAGGCCAACTGAGTGAAGTTGCGCCCCCCAACTTCTTCAAATCTAACGAAATTGGTGTCAAACGTTTGTGCAGCAAAAATTTTCATGTATGCCGTTGTTATTTTAAAGATATTAATAAATGTTTCCAGAGGTCATGAAAGGTCAACCAGCGCCATCCCCCAACCACACACACACACTTTCTTCAAATCAGTTAAAAATGATGTCAATCAACTTGGCTACGTTTGTTCTGGTTTGTGCAGCAAATATTTCCATTTGTGCTGCTTTTGCTTTGAATATATTAATGAAAGTTTAAAGGTCAAAAGGTCAACCAGTCCCCCTCCACATTACTCAAATCTAACAAAATTGGGGTCAAACGTTTGTGCAGTAAAAATTGTTGTTTGTGCAGATATCATTTCAAATATATTAATAAAAAAGTTTCCAGAGGTCATCAAAGGTCAAAGAAAATCTGTTCATGTTGGGTTAGAGTTAGAGTTAGGGTAAGGGTAAGGGTTAGGGTTGAGGTGGGCAGAGGAGGCTGGTTGACCTATTTACCTTTAAACTTTCAGTATGTTCAAAGCAAAAGCATCACAAACATAGTAGAGTTTATTGACACCATTTTTTTTTTTTTTTCATTTTGTACATGTGGAGGGCTGGTCGACCTCTGATCATCCCTGGAAACTGTTTTATTAATATCTTTAAAATGATAGCGGCACAAACAAAAATTTTTGCTGCACAAAATGTTTGACACCAATTTTGTTAGATTTGAAGAAGGTAGGGGGGCAACTTCATCATAAGGCCTGCTGGTCTCCTTCAGTTCCTCTAACTTCAGGATCACAAGTTTGTTAACTAGAGAGGGCGGCTGTGGGAGTCCATCGTTTTCTTTTCTAGTCACGCCTCTATTATTCCACGTGCAGGTAGATAAGAAAGACGGGATGTAAATGTTTAAATGCCTCTAACGAGATTTCTCTTTTTTTAAGTATAATGGCCTTCTCTCACACCCAGCTCTGGCCTTCATTGCAGTAAAAGAAGTCATGCGTGCTGTGGCTCTGTGCATGTGTGTGTGTTTGTGTAGTTGTGTGTTTGTGTGTGTCTCAACACCAGCAGGATTAATGTTCCCTCCACTGGCAGATGTTCCCTCCCTGCGGGCAGCGTGGCAGCAGGAAGTGTCATGGCAGCAGCCTGCTTTGCACCTTCTATGCCGACAGTTGGCTGATCCAACAGACCCCCCATCCATTTTTTTGCGTCTTCCCACCTCACTTCTTTTCTTTCCTCCCTCAGTCTTCTCAGTCTCACCTTACGTAATCTTTCACTCATTGCTCACTCACACAGTTGCGCAGCGCGCTCTCAGGGATAATTACCGAACAAGTGCCGGCTGAAACAGCCGGATGGGTAATGTATTGCAAATCATCTTTCAAGGTGGGGGGGACAAAATGAGGGAGGGGTTGTACAGTTGTTCATTTTGCAGCTAAACGTTGTTGAGCTTTAGTTTAGTTTTTCTATGCTTATGAGGAGAAAAGAAAACCCAAAGTTCAGTTCCTTTAAAACATTACCAATAAATACTGTACATTTAATTTGACTGAACTGCTGCTCAGTGTTTGTTTGGACACCTGTACAGGGTGATTTTTGAAATCATGTGTCAAAACGTTATCAGTAGTTAGTACCTTATCAACCATAGAGCACAGAGTGTGGAGAAAGAGGCAAATGCTAGGCTAGGCTAATGGCTAGCTAAACCAGAGCTCCTTTAAGGGTGTTCACGCCTGATAGTCTGGTAGACTTGGTTCGATTGGGGACCAAAATTTGGAACATTTGTTTACTTTTTTAGCTGGTGTGGTTTATATTCACACTGCACTGTCAATCAAGCCAACCTGCCCCCCCCCCCCCCGCCCCGCCTGTGGTGGCGCTGAACCAAGAATTACTGAACAAAATGACATGAAAACCTAAAAAAGACACTGAGTGCTACTTACTTCTGGAAATAAAAACAAAAATGGAGTGGCGTCAAATTTGAGCGGGTTTTAGGATTTCTGTTTTGTCGTTTTTGAACAATGGACTCAGCATGAGCAGAAGATGAAGCAGAAGAACATGGAGAATGTTGTTTTTCACACAAGGTGGCTAACGGCACTGTATGAGGTAAGAAAAATGTGCATTTGTTTGCTCTGCGCTGTAGACCACTTCCTGCTTTTGGAGCAGTCTCCGGTCTGCTAGCATTCACAATGCATTCGAACCGCGCCAAAGTTCACTTCAACTAGACCGAGATCTAGGTATTTAGGTGGACCAGAATTCACTTTTTTGGTCTGTATCAAAGTTTGATTGTGCTTTCACATCTCCCCAAATGAACCAGACTTTCTAGGCAAATAGACCAGAGTTCAATTAAAGCGGACTTAACAGGGCTGGTGTGAATGCAACCTAAATGTTTTTCAGGCTTATCAAAGTCACAGTTTTTTTATTTGTCATTCACACCACATGTGGTACATGTGCTCTGTTCAGGTTAAGGCTCGGTTCAGGTCGCACTTGATTATTTTAAATAAACAATCTGTGCCGCTCACTCTGGTATCCGCCTCACTGAAGCCCCCACAGCAACAATGGGGAAAGAAAGACTCCACCCCCTGCCCCCTCCTCTCTCCCTCTGAGGCTGTCTGCCACAGCAGAGCAGAGGCACACAACAGGCCGTGTGCGCCACGCCACGACAGAGAGCCCCGGAAAGAGAAAGGAGGGGGCCCCTTGTCGAACACTGAGCGGGCCAGGCTACCAGGACTTCCCTTGGATTGTACGTGGTCAACGTACAATCTTACATTGAAAACCTGTGAAAGAGTGAGTCCGTGAAAGTCGAACAGCGAAGTATCGATGGTGTATTGCCAGATACATTAGCACACTATGCTAATGGACACTAGCAATTTTAACATATTACAAAACCGGTTGTTAAACATAAAACAATTCTACTACTCAGTCTAGTAATGCCAGCACAAAATAAGCTAAAAGATAACAGAAGGGTAAGCTAATTGCTAACATTTCTTAATTTATTTATAGACTTACACCAACATTAGCCATGCTGCGATCATGTCAGTGCGTCACACCTGAAATGGTTTGGATGGAAACCTGAAACCTGTTTTCTCCTGAATCCTCCTGACATTTACCATCCTCCATTTTTTATTGTCTCAAGTCTGGTTTGGTTTCTAAACATATAGTCCACTTAGGTGCTCACAACAAGTCACAGTAAAAGATGAACCTTCCTCATGCTAACTGTAAGCTAAATATAGCAACAAGTTGGCAACACAAGGATAGCCAGGAGTTGAGTGAACCCTTGGTCTGAGCACATGTGGAAATCAGGCAGTCTGACAATTTACCTGCCTCAGGAGGTCCTCATTTGCAAAATAACACATACTTTGTTCAGTTGATAGAACAGAAACAAACTGAACAAATGGTGTCAAGCTAAAGTGCAAAAGTTTACTTCAGGCTAAAGTAGGGTACTTTCACACCATTAAAAATTGTGGTTTTCTTGACCTAAAACTGCAATAAAAGTGACCCTGGTCTTGCTAGCCTTTAGCCTAGCTTGGAGGGAGGCTTGAGTCCTTTTCTTCACACTCTGTCTTCTGTGCTTGATGTCACGGCTGATAAGGCACTAAGTATCTGACAGAACATCCCTTCAGAAATCACCAGACTATCCTTTAAAAGTTGACAGTTTGTCTCCGAGGTGACACGTGTCCCCGTCACTGTAGAAAAACAGCAGTGTGTTGGCAGAAGGCATCAGGATTCGTCATGCCGTGCCCCCATTGACTCTCACAACAGCTGTGCCCCATCCATTAGTTGGGTGGGTGGGTGGTGTTGGTGGATAAATTGATCAATGAGCACATGGCTTCGGTGTCCACGCTTCACAGGCTGAACCCCGTCATAAATCTGAGCATGCCTCTGAAGCGATCGACAGGCCATCAATCACTCGTCAGGTTTCCACCCCTCCTCGTCTCCCCCCACCTCACACCCCGTGGCTTTGATCTGGAGAGTTTTGTTAAGTGCCCCACCTGCAAGCCTCTTCTTGGCATTATCTTCTCTGCTGTAATCGATTAAGACTGCAGTGGAAGTGTGGCTGTCTTTGAGCGTCATCCAGACACACTGCTGTCAGTTTGACCTTCCACACAGTCGTTAGACTGACGGGAAAAACTTCCAGCGACAGACGTTTGAGTTAAGACGACTAGGAGATGAGTGTCAACTTTATGTCGGCTAATGTGATAATGGGTGCCCTTAGATGGAAACTGGTACAAATCAGACTTGTTGGAAAAGTTTGAAACCATCCCATAGTCTACTCACGTCCCCTTTAAAGGTTACATGTGGTGCCAAGTTTTATGTCTATATTTTCCTATTTATCTTACTTGTTTAGGTTTCTAATTATTTAAATCTGTTTTTGTTGCATCGTAAAATGGTTGTAATCACAAGATATAAAAGTGTTAAGTTGTTTTTAATAATTTTAGAACTTCTATGTTCAGTTGTTACAGTGTAATTAATCGAAAAGTTCATTTCTGCTCCGTGCTGTATCAACTGCATGAAGGGTTAACCCTTTGCTGTCCTGCTGCACTTTTCTACAATTTAAATGACCGCGATCATTTGAGAAAACTATGCTATCCAGTTTTGCTATTGCTTACAAGTATAGTTTTCTCAAATGATTGTGGAGGCTGAAGATTATTCTATGGTGGCCAGCTCTGCCTTTGTGCCTGGTTGTGGATATAATTGCTCCCTCCCCTTGCCAGGACTCGTCACTCTAAGCCGCCTCAGACAAGCAGAAAAAAAAAATCCCTACCTCTTGTCTTCTACATAGTGTAACTCCTACCCACTTGTATATCTTGCACCAAAACACTCATCTCAAAAACTTCAACCATTTAATAGTCAAATCCCACAGCGACGGGGGACGTTGGTGTTCTGCTTGTTCAATCAGCTCAAATCTATTAAAATCTTTGCTTGAGTTTTACTGCATTTATGCAGACTTGGGTTGTGTACTTTACATATTTGTAATTGTTTGATGGTCGATACGTTGACCTAAAGAGGCAACCAGCTCAGGCTAATTGAGGCTAAATGGGCCTTACAACTAGCCTCAACACTGAAGTCATCTATTTCTCTCACTGTGTTACTGGTTTATGCTTACATCCTTTTATTTTTCAAAAGTTTTCAGTGTCCTGAAGAGATGAGGTGGATAAAACAGTGGTTTCTAGCTTATATGTAATTTTAAAAAGTATGTAAATACTGTATTTTACAGGGCAACACGGTTCCCTCAGAGAGCTGTCCATGGTCCTGAAATGTGAACCGAAAGGCTTTTGAGTGAAGAGTTTAAAGTTGTGTGAAAGTTACAGCATGCATCCACATATGTGGACAACCTGACATCCACTTATGCAAGAGTTCAGGTCTTAGGAGGTTAATAAAACTGGCCAGATAAATGTTTATCTTAAATAAACTGGAGGTAATCAGCTTCCTTCAGTTTGCTAGTTGCTCCTGGTGGATTAACTTGTTTTGTTATTGAAACGAGATCATTGTCTGTAGTCAGATTGCTCTCACTGACATTGTGGATTGCGGCTATAAATGCTCTCTCGTTGAAATCTTAACTTTTTGTTTAGTTCCCACAAAGGTTGTCGAGTCCACCGGATGTTCTCAAAGTTATCGTCCTTGCAGCTCTGTCAGGAAGGTGCTCCGAGTCGGAGCAGATTAGCTCATAAAGTCCTTCTATGGTCTCAAATACTAAATCTAATGCCTTCTGTTTTGAGTAACTTTATTTAAAAAGCTTGACTTCCCCCATCTGGCTCGCTCTGAATTTTTCAAATAATCCATTGTTGTTAAAAATTTGTTTCCTCCGTGTTTTGCCACCTGCCTCTTCCATCTCGCCTCCTCCCTGTTGCTATGGTCTGTCGCTCTTTTTTTCTTTCTCCTTCCACACACTTCTCTATCTTTCTCTCCCACCCTCCCCCTGCCTCTCCGCCTTTTCTCTGGCTGCTCGGTTGATTCATTGTGTTGTCTGCTCCCTGCAGGTATACCCTCGGAAGAGCGCCCCTGCTGTGGACAGGCTATGTGTGGGCGTACCTGCTGCAGAGGTGAGCCAGATGCTGCCGCATCGCACGAGGAACTTTCCCAGCAGAAAAGTTTGTGGACTTTTGAGTCCAGAACATCTCAGGAGAAAGCTTTTTTTTTTTTTTTTTTAGTTTGAAATAATCTGAAAAATAAGAGCTAACTGAACAAAAGGAGCTTAGTTGTTAAAAACGAGGCGTGTTGGAGCAGAGAAATTGCTAAAACCTGCAGGACGGTGGCCCTTGAGGACCATGATTGGTCACCCCAGAAGATCACAATGTTTGTAAAAGTTGTTTGAGTCAAAATATTTTCCAGAAGAAACTATAAATGGGAAAACAATAGTTTGAATGTGGACTCAGCGTTCCTTTAAGGAGCACATATCACTATAAATTAAAGATAACGCCCAAATATAACCACACCAAACTTTATCTTAACGTCTGTAAAAATGACAGGTTTAGCATTTTCTGTTTATTAAAGCTAATTAGCAGTGGCAGCCATCTTGAATCAGCGTACTGACTTTCTAAGAGTTTAATTACAACTTGTTCACTGATACATGATGAATGTGCATCTCTCATCATTATCTCTTGACTTTTTTGGCTGCAGGGGGTAAATACAACGAGTCGATCTAAAACATTCCCTGCAGAGCAATCGATGCATCTCTAATAACTGATATTTGCAAAATACAGACATGTGAGAGTGAGGAAAATTATTTTGACAAGTCAACTAGTTCAATTCTATTCATTTTATTTATGTAGCGCCAAGTCACAGCAGAAGTCATCTCAGAACACTGAACATAAACATTCATATATATATATAAAACATAAGTTAACATTATTTATCTGAGGAGCAGACTGCTTTGAGTTTAACTTCATCGAAGACTCATCCTGAGCAAACATGAAGGCGACAGTGGAAAGGAAAAACTCCCTCATGAGCAAGAAACCTTTAGCAGAACCAGGCTCAGGACAAGCTGCCATCTGCTTCGACCGGCTGGGTTTGGTAAGAACAGATACACAATGGCAGACCAAGAATCACATAAGATAGAAATATTAACAAATGAAAATTATTCATTTGTTAATATTCATTTAAGGAAATGAGGTCAAATTGGCCTCCAATAGTCTAAGTTTAAGACAGCATAACAAGCCACCCCTAACTATAGGATTTATTAACAAGGAAAGTCTTAAGTCCAGTCTTAAAACTGGACAATGTGTCAGCTTCACGGACATAAACTGGAAGTTGGTTCCACAAGAGAGGAACCAGAGAACTGAAAGATCTTCCTCCCATTCTACTTTTGGATACTCTAGGAACCACAAGTAAGCCTGCAGTCTGAGAGTGAAGTGCTCTGTTGGATAAATATGGAACAATAAGATCTCTAATATAAGATGGGTCTAGGTTGTTGAGAGCTTTGTAGGTTAGAAGTAGGATTTCGTCAAACCCAAAGTGTCCTAATCTTCCCTGTGAGTCAGATCAAAATATATTTCAAACAGCTTATGTCTGTAAATGATGTGTGTGTGTTCAAACGCACCTGTAGCCACGAGTAACACTTGAGATTGTTTAGCAAAAGGATCCAATTTCTTTCTGTACACTTGTATTCTGGTGATAGGGAGCCAAATAAGTTAAAAGTGAAAAACTGACAAACTGTGTAAAGCTTATTTTTATAACATGTTGGACATTACACAGAGATTAAGTCCTGTCTTGTCACATCCACACGTTGGAAGCTTGATTTAAACACAATCTCAAAAGTCGACAGTTGTTCGTGCTCAGTGGGCTTTTTCCTGCTCGTATCCATCCTCCCTGTTGGTGTTTACCCAAAGCCCAGTGTAAATGCCAGAGGAGTTTTGTGATTTGCGGGGCTCTGCTGATCACACACTGAATTTCCATGCATTATTTACATCAAGCTTAGCCCTCCTCTAAGCATTTGTGAGCCCGGGTCACAAACAAGCAGGGATCAATGAATGACTGGAATCAAATATTTATGCCAAAGCCAGAGTACCTAAGGCGAGGTCACATGACCGCTGCGTTCTGCGGAGGCGACTTCCTGCCACACAAATGTTGAGAAAATCAGTCGCATCAGGAAGGAAATACATGAGGGAGCATGCCGTTTGTTGTTGCAATTTACAGAGGCAAGACGAGAGGCGCCGGGACTCAACGGTGTTTGCTTCTCTGTTGATTTACTGCCTGTTTTGTTTGTGCACACAACACATCAGTTTGTTATTTTGTAAAGCGCTGAACTCGTCATGCACAGGCTGTAAATTGTGGCTTCAAATTATTTGCTACAAATAGATATTTATCAGGGTTGTAAGCATTTGTACCGAACTGTCACAGTACAGGCGTCTGGTGTGTGCAACCGTTGAAGAATACGTCGGATGTCTACACTTATTTATTTTGAACTGTACTTGGCTAAAAGCAACAACCAAAAGGCAGCAGAAGAACATGGTAGTTAAAGTTCTCTACACTAAAACTAGTTCAGATGACACACGGGAGCAGTTTGTTTCAAACCAGCAGTGTGAAAGTTGAGATCTAGATCTATGGAAAGCCAAAAGGGTCATAGACTGCTAACTCTTCTTCAATTGAAGATGGAATGAAGCTTTCAGGCATTGTGACCACCCTGCTATGCTCTCGGCAATCTATACGACCACTTCAAACGGGGCTGGATTGGGTTAAACCTGGATAAATTCTTCATTGGGAATACAAAAAAGGTTCGGTCATGTCATCTGGACACCATTCTTTTAGGGAGAAACGTTTCGTCTTTCATCTGAAAGACTTCGTCAGTCAGTGGCATGCCACCCAGATCTGTCTTATAAATAGCCCTCATTGGTGTGTTTCAAGCCAGCCTCCCAATTAATTCCCAGAAACTAGCTTGTGTTCCTTCATTGAAGGAACTATGCAGATTTGTTCTGCAAAAAAAAAAAAAAAAAAAACGATGAGAAAACAATGGGATCAGTGACGATCACAGAAGCCAATCCAGCATCCATGAGTACTCACAGTGCTGGGTTGGCAGGCCACAGACTGATGAGGTCTTTTGGATAAAAGACAAAATGTTTCTCCCTAAAAGAAACGTGTCCAGGTGACACGATTTAACCTTTTTTTTTTTTTTGGTATTCTATCTATCTGGATGATTGAGCTTACAAACCTTCATTGGGAAGGTAACCATGACACTGCTGCACTCTTAGTACTCACCATTTAGGTATTTTTCCTGCCATTTGTGTACTTGTTTATGCCCTTATTACATTCTACACACCCACCCTTGCCCAGTTAGGATGCAGCTACTTCTACGTTTGTGCCAAGGTCATGGGAATAACCCAGACATGAGACCCATGTTGGTAGCATCAAATTAGCCTAGCGTGATCTTCTAAAATGTAGCATATAACTCTACTACCATGGGTGTTCAGTCTAAGTTAGGTTGTTTCCATATTGTAACAGTTGTAGTTGTAGCCTAAGCATGAAGTCAGCATGGCCAAGCTTGCTTCAAATTCTTGACAACCATGCCACACGACTGCTCAGCGTCACCGATATGCTGCCTCCATAATGTTTAACCACCCTGACTTTGCTTTCTCAAAGCTTATCATTGACCTACCACGCTCTATTGAACATAATTGTGGAGCCCTCTGAGTTCCTTAAGACTTCACTTATTCGTTGATGTTCTGGCTAATTTTTATTTTGTAATGGAGTTGTCATCTTGGTCAAAGCAGTCCTTAATAAGTGCCACTCATGTGTAAACAGTACTCACCTAACTGAAATTCAAGCCGAGTATATAATGTATGTTTAGTTTTTTCCACATTGGAAAATGCTATTCAGTTCTGTACTGTCTTTTATTTTGTGACAAGTTTAGGTTATTATTTTTAAAAGAGTACATATGTTTGGTTTTTTACAGTGATTTATTTATTTTTTCTTAAGAAAGAAAGATACACTTTAGTTTTGGCATTTATGAAAGTTTTTGTTTGGCTCACGACCCGTTAACCGTTACAAATATTGACAACCCTTACAAGGCCTGGTACATTAGAGCCCCCATGTCTGAAAATGTGCCTCTGCTTCTGGGAGAGTTATTGTTCTTTTTTAAATGAGATTTTAAAGAATTTTACATATTTTTTTTCCATTATTCTTGTTCCAAACCGTGATTTCATAAGTGAGGAACGTACCAAACGGTGATTTTACATGAAGCACTACACTCCTATTATTTACTCCTTGTACGCTTTGTGGTAATAAGTGCAATAAATAAATAACTCAAAGTGCATGAAGAATATTAGATATGCCATCCATCTGTTTGTTTTCCGATGAGACTTGCATGAACCTTCTCGGTTGTATCCTCTAGTGTTTTGGTTTGCTGGGCATCAACGGAGCTGGGAAAACTACAACGTTCAAGATGCTGACAGGAGACATCCCAGTCTCCAGTGGAGAGGCCTTCCTAAACGGCTACAGGTGAGGCGCCTGAGTCCCACTACTTCACCGAGTAACTCATCTCAATTAGCCACCCAAGATAGCTGCTCAGGTGGGGATGGAGCTGTAGTTTTTCTTTTCCGCTCCATCTCTCGGGCTCTTCTTCGTAGCTTCAGCTTCTGTTCTATATTCTACCCTCCTCTCTACCTTTGGTGCTCTCTTGTCTCTTCGCTGCAATATTCTGAGCCAAGCTGAAGACTCTGCTCTCTTTCACTAGTACATATTTCATTCCTTTTGACATTCTCACCCTGTACCTGCTTCGTTTTTATTTTGGTTGCAGCCTCGTAAAAAGTCTGCCATAAAGAATTTGTTGCACATGGAGTTAAAAAAGCGACACCTTGACAACAGCAGTGTGAAGACACAAGCAACTTGAGAGAAAGTAGGCTTTCTGTTTCTTATTTTTGGAACAAACAACTCTGTTTCCTTTCCCTAGACGTGTGCGCGTGTTTCCGAGCCGGCGTGGTTGAGAGTGTCACAGCGGTTGCTATAGATGCTCATTTATACATCTGGTAATTGACTTTGTGTTCAACAAAGGAGCAGAGCTGTATGGAGCTAGGTCTAACACAGCGCTGTTAATGTTGATTAATGTGGGTGATAGTGATCAAAGAAAAATCCCCGAGACCTTTAGGGGAAGCAGCTGAAAAGAGAGGAAAAACAGATGTGAGCTGGCAACACCCACTCTTCTGTTTTCATCTCATTATACTCTGTGTGTGCATTGGCATGAGGAGTGATCAGCAGAAGAGAGAAAGCAGCCGCTCATGAATGGATGTTTCTTGCTCTTCTGGCAATTCTCCCGCTTATCAGTATTTTTTTTTTTTTTCGAGGGTGGGGGCTCACCAGGAATCAGACTTTCTTTAACTGCCAGCCTGACGAATGGTACAGAGAAAGCTACTGGGCTCACTTTGGGTGGGAGCTCATTGGTTGTCTTTTGTTGTTAAACACCAAGAAGACACGGAAGGCAAAGGTGTTTGAACAAATTGGCAGAATGAGGATAAAAAATGTGTGTGGCAGCAGAACTTATTTTTTTAAGAGACGTCACCTCAGTATTGTAGCCTCGTTTCATGCTGAATAGTCTTTATAGGGTGTTGGTGGTTTTTATGGTCTTATTGGTCTTCAGGTATATATTAGAAAGGTAGAGAGCATCGCATAAAAACTCAAGTAAAACTGTAAAGTATAGTTGAATTGAATTGAATTTCATGCAATAGAGCAAGATAGGTCCGCAATGATACTGAGCAGGGACAACACTTGTTGTCTTCCACCTGCATAATATCAATAAAATTAGAAACATCTTATCTAAAAATGATGCAAAAAAACTGGTCCATGCATTTGTCACGTCTAGACTGGACTATTGCAATGGTGATGTTGATGTGTTCATGCGTGCACATCTGCTCACAGACTCATGTTCATGTTTGTGCTGATGTTCAATGTTTTATGTTATGAGTGCTTAGTGTATATTTAGTTGATGTTTTTCTTGGTTCATATCTTAGATGTTATTACTGTTTTTCTTATACATTTTATTGTTGGATGTAACTGGGACCTTGTGTACATAATTTCGCTCCACCACATGTACCACATGAGGTGCGAATGACAATAAAGAAACTCTGACTCTGACTCTGACACTTGGCCTGTCACGATAACAAATTTTGCTGGGCGAATAATTGTCTCAGAAATTATTGCGATAAACGATTATTGTTTGAAATTTAACAATAATTAATTGTCAAATTTTAGAAGAAATGTTGATTTGTTTGGAGTGTAGTACCTTTTTTGACCACCTGATGGCAGTATAAGAACGTTTGAACCAAAGGATGGATAGCTGAGTGCGTGTCTGTTTAGGAAAAATGTGAGGGAGGGCCCTTGACCTGACATGGGCTGACATGGTGACATGGTGGACGCTTAGTGATTTGAGCTCTTTAGCATAACCTTTTTTTTTACACATAGCTTTTAATAAAAAATATCAGTAAACAAGTTTTCAGCTTCATTTTGCAGAGAAAAACAACTTTTTACACAAAGGCACGGGTTTCAACTGAACTTTTGAGTTCGACAAGGCGGAGGTTTTTCTCCGAGGTCGGCCTGTTAGCTTAGCACGTAGCTTTGCTTCTCATCTTAGCTGCTTTTAATGATCCAAAAACACGATTTTGGATGGTTAAAACTGATTTTAAAGAGAAAAGAGAAAGGGAGGGGTCAGTGAAGAGAATTGGAGTTGAGCCATGTCTTCAGTAGAAAGAGAGAGACACGACGAAACAATAAAGCCGATCAATGAAAATGAGGACGATAATTTTCATTCATCATACGATTGAATGATTTATTGTTTATCGCGACAGACCTAGACAACACTAATGTAACGATGTCATGATGGTGTAACATTGTGGTGATAGTGTCTTAATGATGATGGGCTACAGGGGTTGATCGTCGAGAATTTGAAACTAGACTTACCATAATAACTGCTACGATCCTAGCAAGGCCGTGGAAACAACCTACCACTGACTTGAGATCCACAGCGGCAGCAACATACTAGCATAGTGTGATCTTCTAGCATGTTGGAGAGAGTGTCATGCCAGGAATGAGAGCGAGAGTGTCATGGCCACCATTGGCTTCCTCCTGGTGTCACCATTGCACCTGGTAGTGGATTAATTGCGCTTTCTGCTAGACAGGACCCATCACTGTACTCTACCTTGGCCAAAAAAAAGTCTGTTCTTCTACACAGTGTATCTCCTGCCTGATTGAATATATTGAACCAAAAACGTTAAGGTTTACTTTCATTCTGTTTAATTCCAGTCCAGAAAAACACTCATGTTAAAAACTGCAGTCACTATTCAAATCCCTCAGTGACGGAACATTGGCATTATTAGTTTTACTGTTTGTTTGTTTGTTTGTTTTGAGTTTTGCATGCTGAGACATGAACTTCATTAAACTTTTTATTTTACCTTTACTTTTAAAGAAAACATCAATAAATCTGTTATGATGTGTCAGCTGAATGGCTAATTTTTATTTTGTGTTTTAACAAAGACTGTGTGCACTGCATTTAAAATCCTATGATTTTCTGAGCACAGCTTTCTCCTTATTGTCCAACTTTCATTAAGACAAGCGGACAATTTCTATGTTTGTCTGTCAGTTAGCAAAATATATATTGAACCAATGACGTATTTGAATTAAATTATCTGAAAATAATCCTCAAATTTGCGTATGCAACCTTAAACTTATTTAGTTTAATAATAAATTTAATACAAATATGCTGGGTTAAAGCTTAAATTTCTTTTTTTACTTCTGTCAGAAATGTTCTGGTGGCCTGTTCGTGCCTCAGCTAAAGGCCAGCACCGACACTTATCATGAACTTTTCTCAAAGCAGGAACAAAACACAATATTAGATAACTGGAGCTTTCAGTTTGACAGAGACTTGTTGGGATTTATCAGTTTGAAGACACATCAAGACACATTTTGCTTCCCCAAGGCTGACCGTTCCTCCCGCAGAATAACATTTAGAAAAGAAATATAATCTTTGGGAAACAAAGGAGCTGTGAAAAGATAAAATAAAACTGTGTGTGTGGCAGGAACAGTATTTTGTGTGTGTTAGTTTTTGTTTGTTGCAAAAATAATGCTTTGACATTTCATTGAGACTAAATAATGTGAGCTGGTTTGTTTTGCCTCTTTGCATGGGTATGTATCAGTGAGACACACGGGTTTTTACTGGGTCAGCTCTGGTTTTCTGTTTCTCATCAAGTTATTTTGAATATTTGATGACTGAGTCAGTTTACATCACATTTCAATATGAACTAATCACTGTTTTTCTGCTTTCTAACCGTTCTAATCTTCATAAGGCATTTAAAGCAACAGTTCAGATCTTCTGAAGAATGATTCAGTGGAAAAGTGATAAAAAAAAATATCTTACCTTTTGTAGATAGCTCTGTGAACGTTCGTAGTTTGGATACATTTTGCATAATTTATACAATCTTTACACCAACCAGGCCCCACTTTATATCAGAATCAACTTTTAATGTCATTGCACAGTTAAGTGCAGCAAAAGTACATTCCAGGGCAGCCGTCCAACAACATAGACAGAAGTGCATGGGGACTATAGCTTCGTTGTGAAACACTGCCCTTATCGCTTAGATAAGAAAAGGGAAGAAAAACATGAGGAAAGAATGTATACAAAAAGTTCTCTCACAATGTGTCCTTGACACACGGGGCAGAGAAAACTACCTCAACACAAAGCAACATAGATACACATAAGATATTTTGTGGTTGGGGGGGCAAAGGCGGTGATATTGTCCATGAACGCTAGCAGAAAGTTCTATAGTCCTGATAAAATGGCACAGTGTCTATCAGCTGGCTCAGCTTCGATAAGGGTCCACATATGTTCTTGGGTTTGGGGGGGAGCAGGGAGTGGGGGTGGGGGGACTACAAATTCACAGGACAAGAGCGGCAGGAGAGGGAAAGAAAGCGTCCGTCTTTGTCGAGAGCAAGTCAGAATATCAGTGACCAGAGTTCAGCTTGGCTGGCCAAAACATTCAAATACATCCATCCATTATCTTTACCCGTTTATTCCATTTTGGGTCACGGGGGTTGCTGGTGCCCATGTCCAGCAATCACTGTGCGAGGGGCGGGGTACACCCTGGACGGGTCGCAAGTCCATCACAGGGCCACATAGAGACAAACGAGACAAACAACCATTCACTCTCTCACTCACACCTAGGGACAATTTAGAGTTACCAATCAGCCTAACATGCATGTTTTTGGTCTGTGGGAGGAAACCGGAGTACCCGGAGAAAACCCACGCATGCACGGAGAGAACATGCAAACTCCACCCAGAGGGCCCCTGGACCGGGGTTTGAACCAGGGACCTGTTCGCTGAGAGGCAGCAGCTCTACCAGTTGTGCCACCGTGCTGCCCCATGCAAATACATTAAAAAAATAATAAAAGGTACATGGTAGCACTGTATATAAAAAGTCAAGCACATTGGCGACAGTGGAAAGGAATGACTCAATGTAAACAGGGAAGAAAAAAAAATCTTGAATAGATCCATGCGCAGCCGTAGCCTCAGCGTGGAGCAAAAAAGGAAAATTGGAAATATCCTCCACTTCATGAATATTCTGAGCACGATAACTTGAAAAATAGGTAAGGCATTGATTTGTATTTTGGTGTGTGGCTGCATGCAGCACTGTGGCGCAACTGGTAGAGCTGCTGCCTCTCAGCGAGTAGGTCCTTGGTTCAAACCCCGGTCCAGGGGCCTTCTGGGTGGAGTTTGCATGTTCTCTCCGTGCATGCGTGGGTTTTCTCCGGGTACTCCGGTTTCCTCCCACAGACCAAAAACATGCATGTTAGGCTGATTGGTAACTCTAAATTGTCCCTAGGTGTGAGTGAGAGAGTGAATGGTTGTTTGTCTCGTTTGTCTCTATGTGGCCCTGTGATGGACTTGCGACCTGTCCAGGGTGTACCCTGCCCCTCGCACAGTGATTGCTGGACATGGGCACCGGCGACCCCCGTGACCCAAAATGGAATAAGCGGGTAAAGATAATGGATGGATGGATGGATGTGTGGCTGCATCTGCATAAGACAGGTTAATTTCTAAAATTCTGTTGCCACTTCAAGTCCAAGATGACCACCACCTTATACAGTATGTAACCTGACTACCCCAATTATTTGAGGAAACTATACTGTACTTTCTAGTTTGTATATTGCTTAAAATTATAGTTTTCTCAAATAATTTGGGTGGCCAAAGATTAGTCTATGGCGGCTAAGACCACCATTGGCCACCCCCTGGCTCTGCCATTGCACCTGGTGGTGGATAAAATTGCTCCCTCCGGTCACCAGGATCCAACATTTGGCGCCACCTCAGACAAGCAAAAAAAATAAAAAATAAAAAACACCTCTTGATCTCTCCTTATACACAGTGCAACTCCTACTATATCTGAAAACGTTAAAGTTTTCTTGTGTTCCCTGTTCGATTGCAGTCCAAAAAGCCACTCACCTTGAAAAATATAAACATTCACTATTCAAATTCCTCAGCAACGGGGGGGGGGGGGGGGGGGTGGGTCATCAGCATACCACTTATTGTCCATAATCTTTCCACAAAAAAAAAATACTTTAAAATATCTGATCTGTCCCTTCATTGTGACCTCCAATACCTTTAAAACTGAACAGCCTTCAAACTGAAAAACTTTGTATATTTTGTTTTTCCCAGCATACGAACAGAAATGAGCTACGTTCACCAGAACCTGGGCTACTGTCCACAGTTTGATGCCATCAACGACCTTCTGACGGGACGAGAGCACCTGGAGTTTTACGGCAGGTTAAGAGGGGTACCAGAAAACGAGGTTGCCACGGTAATCACTGCACTTTGCTCAATAAGTTCCTAAAAGATTTGTCTTCATCTTTTGCGCTGCACTTTATTGTGACCAATTTATATACTGTACTCTCCATTATTTCAATCTTTTAAGCATGACTTCTGTTTGTTTTCAGCATTAAACTACTTGTTCACTGAAATGCATGTCGGGGAAACTGAAATATGTGTTGAAGTTATAGATAACCTCAATGGGAGAAGACATGCATAATGAAAAATGGCCGGTGGAAGAAAAGCAGCAGCTGTGGCTTATGGCTCTACATTATTCACAGTGCCCAGTGGTATGGCCTGTTCTGGGTTGATTCCCTGCACTTCTGCCTCCTTCTTCAGCAGTAAAATCAAAAGAGAAACGGGGCTGGCAGTGACCACAGGCCCTCGACTCAGTGCCAGGGCTTTGATGTCTTAGCTGCAATGTAAAGGGACCCAGTTCTGCTCTGCCAGAGCAACTCCAAACCATTCACACGGCCCATTGTGTTGATTTTTATGGGGCGGTCCATCAAAATAAATTATCTGTACTGTTTTGTTTACAAACTCGTTAAATATACTTCTGTACATCTGCATTTATGTGAGAAATTAAGTACAGTTCTAAGGTTTTACATGTTAGAACATAAAAAGCCATCTGGCCAAAACATGGCCATTTTTAGATGAACCAACACACATTACATATTTTAATTCAGTTTATTTATATAGTGCCAAATCACAACATAAGTGGTCTCAGAACACTATGTTAAAACATTCACATACATACAAAAACCAATTAGTAAAAGTTTATCTAAGGAAGGAAGCCAGCAGATGTGTTGAATCCACTTTGTTGAAGTCTCCCATCCTGAGCAAGCACAAAGGCAACAGTGGAAAGGAAAAACTCCCTTTTAACAGGAAGAAACCTCCAGCAGAACCAGGCTCAGGACGAGCGGCCATCAGCTTCGACCGGCTGATATTACACCCAGTCAGTATTTAACATTAGCTGAGACAAGATGTGGAATCAGTGGCTTTAAAAACAAATTATTTTATAAGGAAGGAAAACACACATCCACACTCTGCTTAACATCTTCATCTTGTTCTTCTTTCTGCTGTTCCTTCTACAGGGTTCTCCACAGCCTGTCATCCTCCTCCATCTCTCTGTCCTCATTCCATCTACCTCCATGTCCTCTCTAACTGCATCCATATATCTCCTCTTTGTCTTTTGCCTGCCAACTGCATTTCTAACATCCTTCTACCAGAATACCCCCCTGTCCTTCCTCTGGACATGTCCAAACCATCTCAGTCTGGCCTCTCTAACTATATCTCCCAGTTCAACCTGTGCTACTGTATACCTCTGATGATCTCATTCCTAATCTTATCCATCCTTGTCACTCCTAAGGAGAACTTCAACATCTTTATTTCTGCCACTTCCAGTTCTTTCTCCTGTCTTTTTGTCCATGTCTTTGTCTCCAGACCATACAACATAGCTGGTCTCACCACTGTCTTGTAAACCTTTCCTTTGACCTTTGTTGTCATCCTTTTGTCACAAGTCTCTTCTGAAACTTTTCTCCATCCACTCCATCCTGCCTAAACTCTCTTTATCACCTCTTTACCACACTATGCGTGATCATTGTCACTTAAATCTGGTATAGGCTAAAAATATTTTGGATATGGCATGTATACCTTTAGGACTACTTGCCTTTTTTCCATTACTAGATGTGACAACCATGTTCTCGGTCTATGCACCCTGAATTTTTTTGTCCTGCCCTTTTGTAACACTCCTAACAGCTTGTTTTTCTGAGGTACTCTTGAAATAGCTTGGAGAACCGTAAAGTCACTCGACAGCCTGTGATTATGGTCTAACAGAGATGCCAGCTGTCATGTCTCGTCCTTGAAAACCACAGAGCTCAAATTCACAGGAGAACCGAAGCAAAATCTCATCCATCATGAGATCATAAGTTTAGTGCCAGGACTTAAACGACAAGTCCCTCAACACCATAATGGCTGCTTTGTCTTCTCTCTTCAAAAGGTGGCTGAGTGGGGGATTCAGAAGTTGGGGCTCGTCAAGTATGCCAACAAGTCAGCAGGAACGTACAGCGGTGGGAACAAACGCAAACTCTCCACAGCAATAGCTCTGATCGGGTGTCCCCCTGTGATTTTCCTGGTGAGATACAGCTTCATCAGTACATTTTGAGTGCTGAAAATGTCACACTCCAATGTTTTTATAGACTTAAAAATGTAATATGTTTAGTTAATATTAATACTGTGCTAATATTTGAATTAAACTTGATCAAATACTTACTATTGATATACTAATGAACCACTGATATGTCAGAAAATAAAATAAATTTAAAGTCATATGCAAGAATTAGACCGGGGGGGTGGTGGTGCAGAGGTTAGAGAAGGTGAGCCTGTGATCGGAAGGTCGCTGGTTCAGCCCCCCGGATTGACAACCACGCCTGCCTCCACCCTCATTTTCCCCACTCTGGGCCCTTGAGCAAGGCCCTTAACCCCCACCATCTGCTCCCCTGTGTGCCCTAGATGGCAGATCTGTGCTCCACACAGTGTTGTGGTAGCTCAGTGGTCTGTGGTTGTGTCAGGAAGGGCATCCAGCGTAGACAATTGCTAAGTCTTCTTGCGAGTTAGTTCGCTGTGGCAACCCCTGAATAAGAGAGCTGCTGAAAGAAGATAATAATAATAAATTATTATTATTAATAATAATAATAATAATAAAATGCAAGAATTAGACTAAAAAAGACATGAAACAAACTTGTAATTTATGCTGAATATCCCAAAGCTCTTTAATTTTATAAAACAAAGAATAAAGAATGTAATTTTCAGTGGTCGTATACCAGTCATGGTATGTAAAAAAATAAATGTCTATAAATAACTATTCTTTTCCTTTAAACATGGATCCATCATTATTAGCAAAACATTGAGCAAAAAAGTCCCTATAATAAATTTCCACATTTTTTAAATCAAAAGTTAACACTAAAGTCAATAACATTTTCTTACCACTCAGTCAGAGCAACGCATTCAGATACATAGCCCTCACCCAATACCACGCCCCTTTTTGGGGGCGGCGCATTTATGGGATTTAAGAAAATAGTGCTACATAAACACGGTGAAACTTTTAAAGCTTTTTGTGCCTATTTTTTCCAGGTAAATAAAAATGTAGTTTAAAATTACTCCAAAACAAGAACAATTCCAGTTTAATCAAAGTAATTGTTGTCGTCTATAGTTTATTTTTGATGAATTAGTAACATTTATATAATGCTTTTAAAAAAATTATAATTAATTTAAATCCGTTGTGACTAAAACTGTAAATCTCTCCTTTTGTTTACCCCTTCCTGTTTAGAAAAGCAACAAAAGTCTGTATTTACTTAAAGGACTTATTTAAATAAAGAGTCCTACTGTGAGTTCACAATAAGGTTTGACACTTCAAACTTTTGTTTACTTTTTTTTTTACTTGACAAAACATGTCCCCCTATGTCAAGTATTCTAAAGAGATACTGCCTTCCTGCACTGATTCTTGTATCTGAATCATCAGAAGTTAGATGTTTCCTAGTTGTGCCATGTCCCTCATCTATGAATTTGTTTTTATGCCATTTATTTCCAAACTTTTTAAGCATTCCTAACAAACAGATAAACAGGTTGTACACAGACTTGCCTCCAGAGCACAGGTAATTAAAAACCAAAAAACAAAGATTTCTTAATGTTCCTTTTCCTTTGAGCTTATGAAGTAATAGAACATCTGTTAGTGTCTCAGTTTATTAGAATTTTGCAATTTTTTACACTGTAATAAACTCGCAGCTTTAATTTTCAGCAGTTCATCGGTTTATGTTTCTATTAGCTCGAGTCATGTATGAGTAATCCATAATAAATTACACGTAATAGGATAATCTTTGCAGCTTTGCCCAGATCCGTTTGTGCACACTCTTCCAAACTGTGTTCTTCATTCACGGAAGCCAAGCTAGCCTCCACTTTGAAGCAGTGTGGAAGTGTTGTCCCAGTTGGTTTAAGTGTGGTGTGTCAGCTCGGGGGGGCCCAGTTGGCCTTGAGGAAGAGACACATAGGGTTTGGAAAATGCTCACGTTGGGCATCCTGACGGAAAAACCCTGTGAGATTTGTAGGATTCTGTTACTGAGGGGATGTCTGGAATGAACCCAGTCAGACTGAGCTCTGTCACTCTAATCGTGTATGAACAGACCGGCCCTGAGGAAAAAGGCACAGCGGTGGCGCTCGGTGTGTCTGCTGCGCTGGCCCGTGCCTCTGTACATGTTCTCCTAATGTGCACATGGGTACGGTCAAAAAATCTATTTGCACTGCACGGCTGTGTGTTTTTAAATGTTTCCGTCTTTGTGTCTTTTATTAATTATATTATGTGTGTTGGGAGCAGCTGCCGTGCACCTTGGCATATTCTGGACTTCTCTGAACAGATGGAACACCTTTGTTCCAAAAATAATGTTGGATATTTTCATGTTTTAGTCTGAAAATCCAAGGCTTTGGTTCTGTCCATCAGTATGTGTCTTGCCTCGTTTCTAAGGGGTTGAATTAAACCAGTTTTGGCCAATAAGGATTATTCGTTTTGAATTATAATCAAACAAATTTAAAACCGTAATCCTATTTCTGGTTAAATTGCGAATTAAAATGTCTGTTTAAATGTTTTCAGTGTAACACAGAGCGCTTTCTGTCACTGGAACTAGTCAAATATCATCATACTGGTGGTTAGACAGACGTATTTGTACAAAGGAAATCCAATTTACAAATTTTCAAAAGAATTACTGTATATTATAAAACAGATTATACCTCCTTGGCACATTTTTTGTATTGTAAAAAGTGAAAAATGTAACATATAGTGCAACGTTTAGTACCACTTATAAAACATCATTTACAATGTGTAAAGCTTCACGAAGAGCTTTATAGCTCAGAAAATTAAAAGGTTATTTCTACAAGATCTCAATTACATATACAATGCAGCTATGTTTAATTATTTTATTGTAAAGAAAATCTCTGATTTAATTAATCTGTTAGATTAAGTCATTCTTTTGTAAATATACACTTTATTTAACAGCCTTCTTGCCATTATTAATCATCATATGCATATATTAGGAGCAGAAGCAACATAACACTGTGTGTCTAAATTAGTGTGTGTTTTTCCATTGCTTGTCCATCTGTTAGCCAAATATCTCATGGCCCGCTTAATGGATTTTAATGAAACTCTTAGAACTTAATCAATAA